AGTGGTTGGGCGACTTCAGCATATCTGGGTATGAAACGTCGATAGAAGTTTATTATTCCGAGGCTTTCAAAACGAGTCTGGAACAGGATATTCTCGAGCTGCATCTACTTCTCGCGGAGCCGGTTTAACACCGTTGGCATTAACAATGTGACCCAAAAACTGTGAGGATTCTTTGCCAAATTCGCACTCCTGTGGATTGATTGCTATGCCACATTCACGCAGTTGTTCGAAAGCGTCCCCAGATGTTGCGGGCGCTCTGTTTCAGATGCGCCACCGACTACTAAGTCATCTATGTATGCACTGACGAAAGGTAAGCTATGAAGAAACTGATCTGCAAATCTTTGGAGTGTTTGAGTAGCATTTGCCAAACCAAACGGCATACGAATAAATTCGAGTGATCCGGATGGGGTATTGATGGTCTCCTTAGGAACATCATTGGGTTTCACAGGAGTGTGGTAGTAAGCTTGCACGAGGTCAGTCTTGGAGAAATATTTGCCTTTGTCATAGGGTTCATAAACTCACGTGTGTGAGGAACTGGATACTTACCAGGGACAGTGTGCTCGATAGTCACCTCAAGGTCATATTTCACCTGATTCTTTTTTAGGTACCATGTCCGCTCCCAGAGGGGCGTATAACTCCCAGCTTCAGAAGTCCATCAACTTCCTGCTTTGCCATCTGCGGCTCTTTAGGGTCTAAATATCGGGGTTTTGATGTGGCTAGGACTTTGTTTAATCCGTTTGTGTGAGCTGGGGAAATTCTAGTTGACGGATGTCGTACTTGAAAGTGCTGTTTATTGGGGTCACAACTACGTTTGTTGTTTCCGTCTCCGTGACGATACCCGCGATAGAAAATTGACCGTTACAGCTGTAACGGTGACTAACTAGCCCATGGCGACCAAAGTCGACCAATAGTTCGTAGTTTTGTAGGAAATCGTGCCGATGATAGGCGATGATATGTCAGCGACGACAAATTCCCACTGGAATGGCGCATGAAAACCAATGTCTGTGGTCGAAATTCTGGTTCCATATGTGGTAGTGGAAGCACTGTTTCTCGCTTGTAGTACTAAAGTTGGGTTGGGATTGTTTTTTTCTGCAGATGTGTGTGGGATCATGCTTACTTCTGATCTAGTGTCAACCAGAGACTGCGCTCCGGTCTTCCTGTCCGTCGTCCGAAACAAATGACTGTGTTCTTGTACGCCGGCGACAGCAGTCGTCACTGATCGCCGGCTTCTCCGTTTCCCGATGAAAAGGTTTTAAAATCGCGTGGTAACAAACAACGACGTGCTTTATGGCCAAACTTATTAAGATGCTACGCAGTTCTACTCGTGGTTTTATCACGGCTGCGGGATCTACTCCCATGGGACTTCGGTGTAACTGCAAAGCAGTCAGTTGTCCTGCAAGTATGTCTGTCTTCTTCTCCAAAGCAGCCACACGGTCACTTTGCCTTGGCTCGGCAATACTTTCGACCTGCTTAGGCATTCTCTCGTACATACGGTCAGTGATATCAGCCAACATGTCAATGTCAGTGCCTGCATCTCCAACAGCTAATATGGTGCTGAATACATGAGGGAAGTCTGAGTAGCCAAAGCAGGTAGGGTAGGCGGTTGTGTAAGTTCCTGTCTTTCAGAATTTGCTTATTTCGCTTACGTTGTGAAGGTGTTCTGTCACCAAGTATAAGCTAGTTAGTAGTTGACCGCCGGCTTTCTGACCAGATAACGAAGTAGCTCTCATCACTTCTTACTTTAAAACATCATAAAATGTGTCTGGGTGGGACTTCAATAGCGTCTCCCTCACTTGTTCAGCCACTTCGTCCGGTAAAACAGAACTTGTGTACCGGAACTTTGTGTTTTGTGAAGTTATATCAGTGGTCATGAAGAACTGTCCTCGACGGACAAACTACGTTTGCGGGTCATTAAACTTAAAAGAAGACATAGGAAGACGAATAGCACCCGCGGACCCTACATTGGCAAAGTCTTGATCATGAGAGTTTAAAGACATCAGTACCGGCACAGCAAAAGTACGGTGCTAAGAACTTGAGATAACAAGAGTAGGAAAAATACAATGAACACGTATGTTTATGCCTGCCACAAAGCAGCCGGAGATATTCCCATCGTATATATCCGTATTTTGTTCAGTTGTCGGTGGCTGTGGTTGCAGTAATCAACTGAAAACAACAATAAGTTGCGAGAGTTTAATCACTTTGAGCACATCGGTTTGTTGAGCTCTGAAATCTGACTCCAAATTTATATACATGCCCAGATACACCATCGCCCGTTTATTATTCCCGACACTGCTGATCCACCTGCGTCAAACATTGCAAACATCAGGGGTTAACGGAAAGTGTATATCAGGATATTGCGTTGGTCCACTGGCAGACAAAAGATTTTTTATCAGTACAGCTAAACGAAATGTTCACTTACGAGTTGTTAAATATATCAACACAATACTGTGAAATAAAATGATACACATTTTTACGTGGTTCTACTCATAATTTCCGCTGTTCTCCTAACCCCTGTATGTACTGACCGTCACCACCTAACTATGGTCCCACTCTATTTATACATATTTATATTTACATGAGAAATCAACCAATTTCGTGCCTTAACCAGTGGCAAACAAGGATAACAAACTACATAGCAAATAACTGCATCACAGACATTTAAGTGAATGGGGAAGATTCCTTGCTCTCGGAGAAATACAAATTAGTTAGGGAACTTAGCTTCAAGAATGAGAAACTACCAGTTTCCTCCCCCTGATGAGCTACTATAGAGGCTAGAGCATTTTCCTCTCCCTTATTTTAGGAGTTAAAGTGATCTAATGTCTGCATCGGCTGTCATGGATTATGATCTTGGCTTCGACTGATCTGGTCTTCTCAATTCACGTGGAGCCAATCACCTAAGAAGCCCCGTGGAAACAGGCCAAAATCCAGGAGCGAATTGCCTTCCAGTTTGTTGTCACTGCATGCTTGAACTTCTTCTTACACTGCCAATCGTCTATCTTCTTTATTATGAAGATTCCGCGTCCAGCTTCGCTACCCTACATAGGCTGTTATCCAAGACTGTCTTCCGGCTGTCATGTCATGCGGATAACCATATTATGCACCATCGGCCACTGCCGTCAATTCATATCTGGGATCAGTATCACAAGCTCAAAAGCCGAACATTTCTGCCTCGTGAAACGATGCTGTATGGAACTTCTGGATTTGGGGACTTTTACGGAGGTGAAGAATAAAGCAGATATTTAAAGCTGTGAATTTCACCTCAGCCCCATCGGACGTTTTTGCTGGCTTCCGTTGTCCACCCCTGTGTTAGTTCGCATGACGTTATTTCGTCTATTACTCTGCTGATGTTCTGCTTGGAATGATCGCTTCAGCGGTTGAATCTCACGAACATACAAGTGCAGTCAAGAGATTTAAGCCAAACTCCTGATAGCCGACCAGCGGGCTTACATCTCTGGCTCATTGCAGACGAATTTTGAAGGGCATTCGTGGGGCCATGATATTTGAAACATCCATTGAGACAAGTTGGATCGAAAACGACACATTCTTACCGCCATCTTCTAGGGCAGAGATTGATAACGGCATGGTCGTTTATTCTCCACGTATGTGAAGTGAAAATAAACTGCTAGCTATGAGAACTTGAATACATGTAGATGTCTAATTTAGTTCTTTGCAGAAGAATTCATCGAAAGAATTATGTTTTCTTGCAATTACTTGGCTCAATAATGTGCAACACTACAATACCTGAAAGATGTTTGCTTGCAGGCGTGCGGTATGCGTACAGCTGAATACCATGTTAGACCAGGTAAGATATCGGACGATACTTCTTGCTCTGTTTTGTTGAAGTTTAATTACGCATTGGGTGCGTATATATTGACAAGGCAGATGAATTAGCACAGAATAGGCAGGTTTTGCTAGGCCTGGGGGACGTCATCTCCGGTGTATCACAAGGAGTGATTACGTGTGAGCTTATCTTTCTTCCTTCTATGAACCTGTCCTGTCTGTCGACAGATTCAAGAAGGGGTTAAGTAGCTATGCAAAGAAACTGGTGGCTAGAAACCATTCAGGCTGATCTGTAGTATTTCACCAGCCAGACCAGAGTGATTAAACCACCAAAATACTAGAGAGCATCCTAAGTGGTTTCTAACCGCTCAAGTTGTTTAGTAGTTCATGACGTTTTTATCTAACGGACCACAACTTGTGATCCCGGCGGGGTGGTTTCCAGTGGAAACTTTGTGGACACCGCAGTTGAGTGGCTGAAAAACTACACAACTACGAGAAATGTCAACGCGGACTGTTCGGCTCGTAAATCAGTAGCAGATTAATCATTCTGTTTGCCTTCATCTAGATAGGATGCAGACCAAATCAATACAGCCAACTAATTCCGCACAACCCAACAAGGCGAAGCCTATAAAGAATCTCTTGCAACGCTGCTGGCATCGTGAAATTGAGCTAACGTTTTACATATTTGTTGAACACCTCCAGAAACCATTACCCACCAATAACACTACTGTTTCTATTCCTATAATCCGTCAAATAGTCTTTCCTGCTCCTTCAGTTCCCGTCGACTCCCTCTAACTCTCTGATTTCACCACGTTTATTAAGGTTTCCTTTATCGCTGTTATCTCTCAAGAATCTACCTAGGTTTCTCCATTACTTTCGTTTTGCTTCTGTGGAACTTGTTTCTCCTCACTTCTTCCAAGTCATTTTTGCTGGACATCTCTCGATCTTTTCCATCTTCTTCCTACAACCAGTCCAAGCAACTCTCCGTTGATATGAGACCTGAGAGACCCATGTGCAACGTAATCCTTGGAAAAGTCTTACACTTCCGACAAATTTATTCAACACCCAACCGCCTGTCAAGCTAACCAGAGCTACAACAGGTGACTGGGTGGATCTGACGAATTTAAATATACCAGAGACCTATTGCTGCTCCGTAAGACTTTAAGGAGAACTGGAAGAAATCAAATGGTTTACATTAGCTCATGGAAGGATATTGGGCATTGTAAGCGCGTTTGACATATGTTTGCGTTACCGCAATGCTTAGGCCATTAGGTGGATGGGTTTGACATCCACTGATACAGTGAGTTTAGTTGACGTATTTAAAGTAAGCTGTCTCAAACAAAGTTTTGTGTGTAGAATTTTAGGTTTCACTGAGGAATTGAATGTTCGTATTATCACTGATACATTTTAATACGTTTAAACGATAATACATTTTCTATCAAGTTTTTTATATGACTTCCATAAGGCACTACTATGAGATCACTTGTTTGTGAAACCATTACCATTTAGATTATCATAACCCAAGGTAATTCACTCATTTTTGCATGGTGGTTGTCATGTTGATGGAATCTAAACTAACTTTGGATGCCTACCAGTGAAAATTTGTCTCTCACATCTAAAGTTATTCGTAGCTGTGTATCAGTGGTAGTTGCATTCCAATTACGTGACGTTGAAATAAATGAGTTACATATCAGTCATTTACACGAGTCTGGCAGTGTTTAGAAAGTTAGGCTAATTTGGTGTAATCCTGTCGTAGCAGTAAAACGTCTCTTAGCATAAGTAGAGATAAATTAGTTCTGGTGAGAAGTGACCACAGTAGACAAGGCAAAATGAGTCGATAGACTTGTTATTTGTACTGCATGGCATATAACAAAGAGTTTGGGGTTGCTCACTATTTTGTATGAGCAGGAAGCAAAATGGCAACTATTTTGTCACAAAGTTCCTGGTACTTCAGTTCATAATAACGCACTTTAAACAAAAGCTTATTACAAACAATAGAATAACACTAAAGACTTATAGGTTGTCAGTTTTATTTAGGAAGTCTACATGGAGATATGTAGTGTTTGCACAATGAAAAAGTAACACAACGTATCGTAAAATTTCCAATGATTTCTAGTTGCTTTTATCAGGGAACGTTGTAGATGTAATCAGGTGAATATCAGTAAATTTTCCACACATTTCGCTGCTGATAGGTTCAAAATAAAAATTGGCTAGATAAAGTTTAGAATCTTCTCAGTTGTAAATTAGATTAGCTTATCATTTTCGAAGAATATAACTTCTTTCTCCCCTTTTTTCTTAATGTGAATATCATCAGTTCATGATATTACCAGTTTGCCACTTACATGTTCCCAAATTCCACATACCTTTTGATTAGCAACGAATATTGACTGCTGATTTATATAACTGCTGATTAGACCTAGTCGAAGACGTCCTGGTATCCATTAAGTAGCAGATATCTTCTGAAACGTGTTACAAGAAGTTTATCCTGTCACCTTAAATGTACTGGATGAGATCCTGGGGCTTTTCTTATCTGCTAAGACGCAGTTGTATGAAGTAAAAATATGACACGTAACCAAATAATCAAATGCAGGTTTATGCATTAGTGAGTCATATCTTTCGCATGATAGTTGATCATTCTAAACGACTGACTGAATGTCGATAGGTGGAGTGTAGTTTGAACATGTGATTGCTGGTCGAAATCCAGCTGCTTCATTCAATGATCCACAACTCTACTAGTAAAGAAAACATATCTGTACTTAAACTATATGATATAATATTCTGTTCACTCTCATTTGAAGTTCATGTTTTTTCAGAGTTCTGTTTTTCAATGAATACTCTTCAGTTTTGCTATATGTGTCATTACATCAACTATGGGAAATTCATGAATATGTAAAGCAAAGTTTTTGGGACGTTATTTCTGGCCTTTACGCATCTTCACTTCATTCAGTTGTTTATATGGTTGTACATTCCTTTAGACTAGATAGATAAATCAATCCTTAGGTAAAATATGGGTGTGTTTAGATGAGATATTGTTTGGCGACGAGATATCGGAAATTTGCTGTGCCTAACGAAGTGTGAATTTATGATACACATTTTCGAGTCATTTGGTTAGTTGGAACGTAGAAACTACGGATATAACATAGGGGGTAAAAATTCAATTTCTGTATAGTTGCAAATAGTTAGATTTTTAATAATGATAACTAAATTTTTCCAAAAACAGAAATGATTCAAAGCTGCCGTAAACCAGTTGTGGAAGTTACTGAAACGGATGAGTTGTACAGTCAAGATGCTCTACCACAGGTTACTAAGCACACGGTTGAAGCATAGTTAATAAAGCACTACTCTGAGTTGGAATACAAAGTGTTCTTGGTTAAAACTTTTTCTGCAATTGTAGATAAATAAACTGCAATATGTAGCATGATTATTTAGGTATTGGTTTCAAAAAATCTGAAAACGTAGTATTAATGGTCAAGGATCCTTAGGAACTTATGCGTTCACTTGGAATCCTTTATATGCATCTAAACAATGTGTTAAGGTTTATGATAATTTCCAAGTCCAGATTTTGGGAGTTTGCAACAAACTAATGTAGATGCTGGTACAGCTGACAACACTGCAGAGTTGCGGCCTACTGATCTAAGTAATCTGCTTATTGTCACTACACCAATCGTTCTAATCTGCTTTTATCTACTGAACTTTGGATTGAAATCGAATATAATAGTGGTGTCCGTTGGCATGCCCACTGTCACTATGGCTATTTAACTTCGGTAAAGAGGTATGAATGGACGTAACCTTAGGTTCGTCTAACTTCACAGGGATTGATCTAATCCCTGGAGGTCATCTGGTTGACTTGCAGTATGCAGATAATATAGTCCTGCCAGGTGAAGATACTGACAAAATTCAGGGTCTCCTGAACGCATTGAGCAGAAATTTGAGTATGTTTGACTGTCATGCGTTTCGCTGTCACCTGTCAAATGTAAGATGATCTTCCAGGAATGGTCTGCAACGACTCCTAGCTTAGTGATAGGGAGTAAAGTGGTGGAATGTGTCGACCATTTCCTACTTGGGGAGTTACATCAGCCCGAACGGGCTAGTTGCTCACGAAATCTCAGCTCAAATATAGAAGGCCTAATTGGAACTTGCCAACTTACATCACCTGTGATGCCAACTGGCAAGATATCCGACTATCTATAAAAGGACGCGTTTAATGTGCTACAGTTCGTCCTGTCCTATTATACGTTTATAGGAGATGACCATTGAAAGTGGATAAGTGGTTACAGATTTTCGATCACACGTGTCTTCACTCCATTCCTGGCGATTGTTGGAATCACCGTGTGAGCAATGTTGAGGTCAGGCGAGAGGTATTAGAAAGGAAAAGCAAATCACTCGAATATGTGAACCTTCATTGGCTAAGGTGACTTGGACTTGGATTGCGCATGCTCAACGGCACCCTACCTCTATGTGCCTTGCTAGGGTAAGTTGGATTAAGTTGAGAGAGGGTTCAGGGTGGTCAGATCAAGATGTGACACTAGTCGATGAAGTTGCTGTCAGTGTGAGCCGTGTAGGGAGACGTAGACTGCAGGGTTGGGATACTGCAGACGAAAGGACTTAGTAGTTGATGACTCTTATTGACATGGCTGAAAATCGGTCACTGGCGGAGATGTACTCACTCTTTGTCACTAAACTTTATCTTCAAATTGTTTATTCTTTGACACAAATTTTTCCACTTTGATATCACTTTTATTCTATTTATTTGTTCTTTGTACGCTACTGTAAAGTGTGGCAAATTGAGCCGGTGCACTTGTATGCGAGGTCCTGCATTGATTTTGTTTGCTTATCTTAATGTTAGCATTTTTGTCACTTTAATCTGCTTTAAACCGCTTTTCTCTCTTATGACGACTGTGCTTTCATATCTTTGTGCTCCGTCCTTTTACCTTATACTTTGCATGCTGATATGAACTATGGTAACTTGAACCATTTCTCAGTACAGCCACATCGTATATCGAGCGTTTGTTTGACGTGGTGTTGTACCTAATCACTATGGTTCATTACTTTTTATTGTATTATTCAGGATAGTCAAGTATGATTCGTACTTCTGTAGTAAACAGATAACTAGTTGTTATACGGGAGCACTAATGAAATATTCTACTTTCTTTGGAAAGGGAACTGAGCTAACAAACAGTACAGCTGTTATCCAATCATCATCCACTGGAGATGTTGCTCATTTCCTTAGAAACTGAACTTTCAGGTCATGGTTGTTGAGTTCAAACATTGCTCCATCGATGTCGCTTTGTGCAACCGAGTGGTATCATAAGCCATTACACAATAACGGTGGTTCATAGCCTAGTGCATAAACATGTGCCAGCTGAAGTTTACTTCAATAACTAGTAAATATTCAATCACCATCCAAAAGATTTACACAAACAAAAAGCATGGTCATTTCGTTGATGGTGAGTGATTAACTTTATAGTTACTAGACTGGTTATACAAATGCTGAACCAACCTTGTCTTCACAATACCTCGAACTCAAATTGTATAGGAAAGTTTAGCCTGTATCCCAAAGAATGTTAGCACTATTTACGTTCCATGAAAAAGACAACTAGAAGTCATCTCTCGAATAGAAGTACAACACTTTGGACCTGTGGATTCGGTAGTGTTAATATGTAAACATAGCATAATAATACTGTCGCAACTAGGTGTATGACTCTTCTAGAATTGGAGCTGTGGTTCATTAATCTAGCCACTGGACTTTCAACCAGTGGGTCACGGGTCAGAATATCGTTCCACTTACCAGTCACTGGACACCCAGACCGTATCATTGGTTGTCCTACAAATATGCGCGTGTTATATTCATCTTACTGACTAGTAGTGGGATTCAGGACCCACATTTCGTCCTCCTTATGATTTGTCAACTGGATGTACCTTCACTCCAGTGAGGAGTGTTCTCACTGGGACTCGAACCTTCTACGCATCGTTTCAAATTCCAAAGCGTTATCCACTGGGGCAGTATCAAGGCATCCGCATAGAAACCCATCTGCTAGAAGGGGTCAAGTAATTCAGCCTTATATACCAATGTGAAATTGCAAGAATATACGCGTAGTTGTTGAGTACGTTTGAATTTTTGTTGTTGATAGGGAACCTTTATTGTATTTCGCTTGATGTAGCAACATTGACTTCTTGTGATTTCATTTAGTTTTTGGCGAATAATAAAACCTCCATCAAAGTGTTTTTCGATTCATACAATCAAACTGTTAGATATAGACTTAAAAAAAGAAGTGAATTCTTTTATATTATCATGATTAACGTAATATGTAAGTAGTATTCTAATGATTATTGATAGGAAAGTGATTAATTGATGTGCCACCGTTGACCACCGTTGTCTTCGTAGTATGAGACGTATTCCGTGGTGTCACCACGTGAGTATTGCAGACGTCAGGTGTAGAGTTTTAGGGAGAAGAGTTAAGTCAGTTGACAAGGTTATGAACCTTCATCGACTAAGATGGTTGGAATACGTGTCACGTATGCCTAGTCATCGATTGCCTCGTCAGACAATGTTTGGCCGAATTAGGTTCAGGCTGTGGAAAGGCCCGAGGTGGCCAAACTAAAACATGACAGGAATGTATGAAGTGGTTGACTGTTTGTTTGAGCGATGTGGAGTGATGCAGACTAGTTGGTTGGGGTCGGTGGGGGGACAAGAGGAACGAGTGGTTGGAGACTGTAGGTGATGATTTGACTGAGAAGCGATGTCAGTGGTGTAGATGTATACAGGACACTACACGGAATCTCACCATTTTGTCATTCTTCCTTTCTCCCTTTGATTACTTTATATATCTTTTGACTGAATTTTCTTATCTTCATGTTTCACCTCACTACGCTTCTACTTGATGTAGTGATATGATGTGTGCAAACTTGAGTCGTTACTCAGTAATGCCTTGTCGTATGTTGATATTGATTGATTGAATTGATGTGCCATAAGTGATACGATATGTTTTGGTTGATTGGATAGTGTTTGGAAAATGAAATAATTGATTTATCGAATTATTTATTAAACACTAATGGAGTGATAATCAGATAAACTAAAGAAATTTACCAATAGCTTCTCGTGTATAGTATATGTTAATGAAATTACTTTCACGTATATACAAAAAAATGAAACAAAATATATAGATAAATATAATTTCTCTAATAAGGTACAACTTAAAGGAAGTAGTCTCTTTCATGTATCTAGGCAGGCTAGCATCGTTTCAACTACAGGCGGCACAGGCACAGACGAGGACGTCAAAGCCAGTCATGATCGAAAAAGCAAGACAGGTGTTCATTAACCTGAAACTAGTGTAGAGATCTACTGCACTCAGCATGTGGAACAAGATCCGGATTTTCAACATTAACGTCAAGTCAGTGCTTCTTTATGATTCAGAGACTTGGCGCGTTACGAAAAGTATTTCCAACAAACTACAGATACTCATCAACAACTGCCTACTCTGGCTCGTTGCTGAAGATCAGATAGCCAGAAAAAATAAGCAACAAGAAACTCTAGCCGTGCAACGAACCAACCAAGAACCTATCACTCAACAAATATGCAGGAGAAAGTGGAGATAGATTGGGCACACACTGAGAAGACTGACTGAGGACATCACGCGCCAGGCCAGTTGCTCGAGTGGGACCTGAATGGGAAACGTCGAGTTGGGCGTGGGAGGGTGACATGGAGGAGATCGTGTAAGAGGGAAATGAGAGCTTCTAGGCTAACGTGGAGCCAGGTTCAAAAGATTGGAGAGAAGAGAGTGGAATGGAGACGTGCTACTGAAGCGGTATGTTCCACTAGAAACCCAACGGACAAATAATAATAATAATAAGGTACAATTAATCTAACGTAAAACTAGTCACTAGATAGAAAATGACTTACAAGTGAATGTAAGACTGCCCTATATATATATATATATATATATATATATATATATATATATATATATATATATATATATAACATCTTAAATACATTACTTCTGTGGTCATTTCTCCCTAATATCCTAACTTTATTTTCGTCTATTTACTTTTCCTAGAGGTATGCCAGAAAAACGTAATTATCGAACTATTCGCATTAGTCGTTTACAACTGAAACAATGGTCATCATATCTTGCTATTGTATTCACGGTAACTAAGTTCTATTCCGTGTACTTATTATTGACTAATGGATTTACAGCTTTTATCGTTTATTTTCATCTCCACCGGTATATGGCTTCTTGAAAATACTCGAGTTGAATCTGAAATAATCGGTAGACGATATTATTATGAAGGTGGAATTCTGTTTGTCACCATTGGGATATTACTATTATTTTCGCTTATATGTCAAGCTTTTATTATACACTTAGTGTTTATCTCTAAAAAGCCTTGGCGATTCACTGAAACTAAAGTGAAGAGAGCAGTTACATTGGTGAGGTATACATTGACAAAGCATATAGTAATCTTTATACAGTATTTAGTTTTTCTGTTTATCATAGCAGCTCCTCATGTTTATTGTCTGTATCATTTGAAGACAATTAGGACAAAAGTAAGTTTAGTGATAGTTTATTTTGTTTCACTAATTACTGTAAATGTGTACTGTGCTATTTACATATTTTAATGATAACCTAAGTAATGAGGTGTTAGTTTTTTTTGTCCTGTTGCTGATATATGTATCCTTGTACAGACATGAATGTGAGTTAAACTTTACGCACAATATTCGTATCGGTTCTTACTATGATTATGGCATCTCAATGTGATATACTTAATCGAGGCTAGCACTGGTAGACTACACTAGCGTTTTATCCTGTTCAGAACTCATCAAATGAATGTACTTGCACCTCAGTGAGTGGTAAAATATCTCTGCGGGAATTCGAAGCCACCACTCGATGCTTCTAATGCTACGTTGTTAGCCACTAATCTAATAAGCAAACAACCTAAATCAGAGCGAAACATGAGACAATTGTGAGGTACCCATTCAAGGGGCTTATATAAAGATAGAAACTGATCAACTCTTCGCAGTAAAGTAATAAACGGCAAACTATAAGTATCGATAAATAGCTATACTATTTATCAAAATAACTAGGTTAACAGTTTTCAGTGCTCATTAAGATTGGATGCGGTTTAGGTCAGATTCTCAGTGTAATACTAGTGCAATTCATCTTGAACGACAAATGTTTATATACTAGGCTATTAGCCATACTATTTGTGTGACAACTAGGCTTACTTTCCTATCGCAGAGTCCGAAGAAGGTGGGATGCGTTTAAAACCCTCGAAACACCGCTTGCGAGTTGAAATCTTTAGTCTATGGGCTGCATATCAGCGAAATTCTCACTGTATTTTACTTTCTTCTCAAAAGTAGCAATGTAACGGAGGTAATAGGTAGAGTATGAGAATCAGATTGTTGTAGATCGCTAATTATTCTGGTCTGGAAGAAAAGCGAAAAGTCGTCTTGTGACAGCTATAAAAGCATCAGTTTAACTAACATCGTGCCCAAGATCCCACAGTCCATAATTATCTGATGCCTGACTGCAGCTCCAGAATAACAAATTAGAGAGCACCAAGGAGTTTTCAGACCTGGACTAGGGTGCATCGATCAAATCTTCACCCGTCGTTAAGATAAAAACAGGCATGCTTACCGCCGGCCGACACTTACCATGCTTCTTGACATGAAGGTGGCATTTGACTTTATCGACCGTGAGGTTTTGTGGCAGTATTTGACTGTGAAAGGAGTACTGAAAAAGTTCATAACGCTAATGAAAGCTCTACTTGAGCTGGCGTAGCCGTATCAGGGCTATTGGAGAGTTGCCATGTGAATTGACTAAAACCAGTGGTGTCCAGTAAGGATGTCTACTGTCACCGTTCTTATTTAACTTCGTCACAGATGTATTTATAGACATAGCCTTATGCAGGTCTGACTTCTAAGGGATTGGCCTACTGTTCGGAGGTTATCTGGTTGACTTGGTGTATGCAGACGATACTGTCCCGCTAGGAGAAAACGCTGAAAAACTGCAGGGTCTTCTGGACACATTGAGCAGAAATCTGAATATGCTTAGCATGCGTTTCACACCCTGTTAAGTGTAGGATGTTGCATTACTGCTAGTCTGTAACTGCTCCAGGAAGGGAAATCGTTGGATACGTTGACCAATTCATTTACTTTGGGAGTCGTATCAGCCCGAACAGACTAATTGCTGACAAAATCTTTGTTGGGATACAGAAGATCCTTTTAGAATTTGTCGACTTGCGTGGTTTTTGACACCGACTCTCAAGATATTGGACTACTTACTGAAGGACGGGTATACTGCCCTGCAGTTTGTTTTGTTGTGTTGCTGTAAGATGTAGCTGTTGAAAGTAGGTGTGGAGAGATTACAAGTGTCTTCGTAGCATTGCTCATGTATGATGTGACCGTTATATGGGCAAAGGGCACTGGGCAAGGCGGATAAGTCCATATATTAGGTTGTGAACCTTCATCGGCTGAAGTGGCTTGGACATTTGTTGTTTATGTGGAGTCACTGCCTACCTCGACATGCCATGCTGGGAAAAGTTGGGAGAGGGTTCAGGGTGGCCAGACCAAGATGTGGCATCATTTCATGAAGTCTCTGACTGCTGGTGTGAGCCATGTAGGGAGGTGTAGACTGTCTGTCTAGTGTCTCCGAGATAAATGATTTTAATGGTTGAGGACTCTTAGTAGCATGGTTGAAAATCGGTCTCGGTGGCGCATATGTATTCACTCTTTGACATCTATAGTTTGACTAGTCTGCATCTGCGTTTTGGTTAAGAATAAGAAACGGTTGAGTGTTTCTTTAACTTCGCTTATTTGGAAGGTTACATTACCCTCGCCAAGTTGAATATTGATAAAATCCTAAAATGTATGCGAAAGGACCATGTGACAATAAACAACCTTTGCCATCTCTACTACTGTCCATATAAAACTGACTGCTTATCAAATGCAGGTGTACTAACCAGTATTATTATATTATTTCTCCCTTGGGTTCCTAGTGGAACATAGGGCTTCAGTAGCACGTCGCCATTTCACTCTGTCCTCTGCAATCTTTCGAACCTGGCTCCACGACTGCCCACACGCTTTCATTCCTTCCTCACACGATCTCCTGCATGTCACCCTCCCACGCCCAACTCATCGTTTCACACGTGGGTCGCAATCCAGTCTAGTTTTTCACTTTTTCAGCTTTTCCCCAAAAGAGTTCGAAATCATCATTTTATTTTATTTGTTGGTTGGAATACTTCAAATTAGTGAACGATGGTATTGAAGATACCTTTTCAAGTATGTCGTCGACAAAAAAACTCACCTATGACATCATCGTCATAGCATCCACTTGGCTTATTCATTAACATAGTATGTCTTATTCATTTCCTAGTTTCATTGTCGAAATGAAAGTTATAAAAGAGTCAAGACTTCAGTGAACAACTTTGTTTTTTTCGGTGAATCCATCTTTTTCACCTGTACAATCACATTTAAGTAGGGTTAAGAGTGCCAGTATTTGCTAATCAATAATTGTTACAGGTAGTTTATGGCCACGAAAATTATGCAAGAGATATTGACTGCAAAGTTTTAGAGTGAAAAAGTGAGAATGGCAGAGTGGCTTTTGAATATTTGTATTGCTAAAGCTTCCTTAATTCAAAGTAGACGTTTGCGAACATCCTTGGGAAGATTAAACTGCACTCTGTAGATTAGGTGGGACAAACGAATCTTGTGTAACTGTGTCCACTAATAATCAAATGTAGTATGAACCTGTTAATTGATCTGCGTCTACCTTTAGCGAACTATACCGGAAGGTGGTGGGGTCGACGTTTGACAATCTGCCTATGTACTTAGCTTCACAGGGCTAGGTGAATTGATATATACAGGTTGGAAATGGCTTACAGTTACAGTTTGTCCTTCGTATATGTGTTCTGCGTTAGGTGAATTGCGAAGTGACTGCATAGAATGTTCTTCGTTACCTGATTACACAGCCGTTGATCTAATCGGAGGAGAATTTTCACTAGAGCCAGAATATGCAAATGACATAGTTCTGTTAGGTGAAGACGCTGACAACATGCAGAGTCTTCTGAACACTTTGAGTGGGAATTTGAGAATGTTTGGGATGCGGTTCTCACCACCAAAATGGGAATTGTTGCTCGAGTATTGGTCTTCAATGGTGTCCCACCGTGGCTAACAATAGAGAGTGTGGACCACTTCACTTCACTGGGAAGTAGGATCAGTGCTGCCCTAGTGGCTCAGTGGCCGGTGAAATCTGTGCACGGATACAAAAGGTTCGGTTGACTTTTGCCAACTTACGCGATCTGTGGTGCCGCCTTGATATCCGATTGTCTATTAAGGGTGGGGTGTACTGCACAGTAGTCCGGTATGTTCTACTGTAAGTCTGTGAAACATGGCCATTGAAGGTGGAGGACATGAGAAGGCTTGAAGTGTTTGACCACCGTTGCCTTCGTAATATAGGCCGTATTCCGTGGTGTCGCCACGTGAGTATTGCAGACGTCAGGTGTAGAGTTTTAGGGGGAAGAGGTAAGTCAGTTGACAAGGTTATGAAGCTTCATCGACTAAGATGGTTGGCATACGTGTTACGTATGCCTAGTCATCGATTGCCTCGTCACACAATATTTGGCCGAATTAGGTTCAGGCTGTGAACAGGCCTGAGGTGGCCAAACTAAAACATGACAGGAATGTATGAAGTATTTGATTGTTTGTTTGAGCGATGTGGAGCGATGCAGACTAGTTGGTTGGGGTCGGTGGGGGGACAAGAGGAACGAGTGGTTGGAGACTGTAGGTGATATGGCTGAGAAGCGATGTCAGTGGTGTAGATGTATACACGACACTACACGGAATCTCACCATTTTGTCATTCTTCCTTTCTCTCTTTGATTACTTTATATATCTTTTGACTGAATTTTCTTATCTTCATCTTTCACCTCACTACCTTTTTACTTGATGTAGTGATATGATGTGTGCAAACTGGGCTCGTTACGCAGTAATGCCTTGTCTTATGTTGATATTGATGATAATGATGATGTTCCTACTGAGACTCTAGCCTCGTATCTATCGCTTGAAACGCCAAAGGGTTATCCATTATGTCACGGAGGTGTGATAGCCACCTCTTGTACTATGGACACTAGTTATTACCATTTATTGATATACTTGTAATCCTCCGTTGTTGACATATACGCGCCTATATGGATGCTCTAATATTGATTGTATATTTATTGTTATAACTGGACTGGGTTTGTTTAGGTATTTGAGATTTTCCATGGTTGGATTGTGCTGCTTTTTAACTCAGTATAACTTCTTAATTACTTATGAAGCAATTGTATTTGTGAGAGCTAATTCATCTCTCCCTATCTCATGTGTTACGTAGCGACAAGAAGGCAGCCAATAGGGCAGTTCTTTAAAGTCATGTTCAGATCATGACATGAGAACCTGATTGGAAAAGTTTGACCTCATACAAGAAATCTGATTCGTTCACTTATGGCTTCACTTTCTGAGAGTTTTGTAAATACATATATGTCATATATTTGCCTAGTAAAAGTCGTCGTTGGCGTTACAGTCACAGGCCGTCTTTGTATTATGATTTCTCCTCGGCTTAGTGAAACAGAAGGTACTGAGGGAGGTCAGTCGTAAAGGTATTCGGTTGAGGTGTCTATTGAGTTTCAGTATTCATTATACCTACACACGCAACCGCACTACTCGGTCACAACAGCCTGTCATTACAATTTTTTATAATTCACGTAATACGTTTTGGTAGATTGAAATTTTTATCATCCTTTCTACTTTAGATATGTTTTGGTTTTATTTATTTATTTCTTCTAATGAATTTATAGTTAGTATGGTCAATTAAAGAGCAAACTGAAGAGGTTCTAGTTAATTTATATGGATTTCAACCAGAATTTACATCAGCTTGGGATCATTTACAATCTCAAGTAAGTAAATATCTAGTGAATATGATACTGTTGAGTTTAATTTTATGTATACTTCATCTGTTTGCATAGTTAACTATTATACTCATTCTCAAGTAGCTTAGGGGGAGATGACTACTAACTATTAGGTGATGGGTTCGAACCCGGCTGGCTGCACATGCAGGTCTAATGTGTACTTGAATCCCATCTGCTTAGGTTATCCACATTGAAATAGAGATTTCTGTTATATAGTATATAATAAAATTGACCCATAACTCTGTGGAACTTTTCCCAATCAATCGTTTTCCTTCAAAGTTCCGAGAAAAGGTACGTGAAGTGATGTGTGAATAAGAGAATGACTGATGAGATAATTTCAATTGAGTATGCTCTTCGAGAAAAGTATGGGAATAACCGATATTATTGCAAATATGTATAAGCTATTGTATTTTGTGCATATTTCGACTATCCAATACACCTTTTCTATTTACCGAGGCAGTGAACAACCATCAAAAGGTGGAATCTGAAAGTTATTGTTCCGATTCTGATATTCATCTCATTACCGAATCATACGTCTACATAATAAACTACCGGCAATCGCTTTCAGGTTTCTTGGCGAACTAATTAATCATTCAACTACTGGATCGGAGTTTAATTCATGATATAGCCCAACTATCATCCAAAGTTGTAAGTTGACATCTGCTTTGCTTATGAATAGTAAAAATGTGTGTACCATTGAACTTTAACCCAGTGGTTGAGTGATTAACGCGTTCCCCGTGAAACTTTTGTAGGTTTTGAGTTGGATTCCTGGTGAAATCATGAATGCGTATCGCTGAGGAGTTGCATACTGGGACGAAACTGCTATTCAGTGCTTCCAACTTTTCAGTCATTCTCCAACTAATGTCAGCTCGTGATGAATACTACCTTAAAAATAAGGAAGAAAGAAGATAAGGAATGGATCTCGTCGGACACATGAAGGCTGATAGATGAGAAGAGGATACTGAAGCAGAAGATAAATCAGTGCAACGATGAACAATGAGAAGAGGAACTGAGTACAACGTATGAAACACTAGACAAAGAAGTGGAGAAGAGTGTGCGGAAAGACAGAAGACACTTCCACGACGCACTGGCAAGTGAAGCAGAACATGCTGCAGGTAGGAGGGATCTGACAACATTGTATCAAATGACCAGATTACTATCTGGTAGGGAAGAGATCAACACAGATGAAACCAACAAAAGATGATGACGGGAATTTAATTACCAAAGAAGAGAAACAAAAGAAACGATGAGCTGACTACTTTGAAAAGCTCTTGAATTGACCACCACCACGTGCACTTCGTCCAGAAATACCACCAGCAGCCCAGCCACAGAACTACAAGTGAACAGAAGCCCTCCGACGAAAGTCGAAGTCCTGAAAGCCATAAAGCTACTGAAATATGAGAAATTAGCAGGACTAGATGGAATCCCGCCAAGGGACAAATTTTATATATATATATATATATATATATATATATATATATATATATATATATATAATTATTAATATAAGTCCCTTGGGTTCCTAGTGGAACATAGGGCTTCAGTAGCACGTCTCCAGTGAACTCTGTTCTCTGAAATCTCTTGAACCTGGCTACACGACAGCCCACAACCTCTCATTTCCTCCTCGCACGATCTTCTCCATGTCACCCTCGGACGTCAACTCGTCGCTTCCCATGGGGATTCCACTCGAGGGACTGGCCTGACGCGTGATATCCCCAGTCGGCCTTCTCAGTGTATGCCCGATCCATCTCCACTTCCTTCCAGTGCATATTTGTTGGGTGATAGGTTCTTGGTTGGTTCGTTCCAATGTGTCGTAGAAGTGTCTTTTTTCTTTCCGTGCACTCTTCTTCACTTCTTTGTCCAGTGTAGTGTTTTATACATTATGCTCAGTTCCTCTTGTCGTTGAGCATCCTTGCACTGGTTTGTCTTCTGCTTCACCATCCTGCTCTCCCTGCTCTATCAGCTTTCATGTGTCCATCGAGATCCATTCCTTATCTTCTTTCTTCTTCCTTCCTAATACTGTTGTGCAGGTTTCTTTCCACATCTCTTTCGAAGACTTCCAGTGTTCTTCCACACAGGTTTCTTCAGGGATGTTCCTCGATATCTCCCATTTTGTCTTGATGACTAGCTGCCGTGAAGATTTTCTTTGTAGTTTCATCCTTCAGTTTGCAAGTGTTTTACTTGAACTGCGATCTATCACCAGCTACCTTGAAGGCTTTTAACTTGATTTGGAAGGTTCCTTGCACTAGGTAGTGAGTGGTGTCAACCTACATCTGCTCCTCTTCGTGACCTGATCTTGTGTACAGTAGGCTGATGGCGTCTCCATTTTCTTGAGATTGAGATGAAGTCGATCTGATTTTTAGTGTAGTGTGTCTGGTGTCTGGTGAAATGCATGTCGCTTTGTGGATATCCTTGTGCTTGAACACACTGCCTGACTCCAATCACCAAATCGTTGAATGCACAGAATTCTGCAAACAATTCTCCATTCTCATTCATCACCTCACCGAGCGCTTCTCAACCCATGGTTAGTTCCCCTCCTGTGTTATCCTCACCCAGTTTGGCATTCATGTCGGCCATTAGAATTTTGATATCGCCAACTGAGGTGATGTCTTGTCCAGTGTTGATTGCAGTTGTCTGTTGAACTCCTCCTTTTTCTCCTGCTCTGCATCATTTTTAGGTGCATAGCATTGTATGATTATGACCTTCCTTCCTTTTGAGTTGAACCTCGCTGTCATGATCCTGCATGAGGGCCTTCGATGTTCTTGGAGACATCATGATAGCCACTCCAAGGCTCAATGTGCTCGTGGTTGTCGTCTGGGTGACCGGAGTAGATTATCGATTCTCCAGTTGACAGTTTGGAGAGTCCACTCCCATTCCATCTGCTTTTGCACTTCAATGTGATATCTCTTCATCTCGTTTGCAATCTGGGCTGCCTTGCTGACTTCAAACATCGTGCGGACATTCCATGTCCCCACGTTTACTTTCGCTTTCATCGAGGGAGAGAAGACATATCGGCCCGGCTAATTGGCTTCCCGAAAGCAGGCTTTCACCAACTGGCGTCATTTCGCCTCTCCGATTCCAGCGAGGAATAAGTTTGTTATTATTTTTTATATTTCGTTTATGCTTTGAAGTTTCTTTAGCGGTTGGATTTATTTTACGGGGTAGGGTTGCAAGGCGTATGCCCAACCTTCCCTGTATACCCGGGCTTAGGTCCGGCTAGTAACTAGTGAACTAGTTAACCAGGCGAGGATATATATATGTAAAAGAAGTATGTACTGTCTTTGTCTCTACCTTGGCCTTTACTTATTTTGGTCTTGGTGTGCTTTAACACTATGCAATTGTGGATGATGTAATCATACAAAAAAGCTTTCATGTTAAACAGAAATCATATTGTATATATAGAAAAAGAATTGTAATACTGTCAGATATTACTTATACAAATGATCTTCACACTATGCTTATAACAGTGGATGGAACCCAGTACAAGTTTATATATAGTAGACTTTGAGGTGATAATACTAACTACTTATTCAAGTTGAAGTCATTGGAGTGGAAGTTGTGAAACTGCAACTCATTATTGAAAGTTACAAATAGAAGTCAATGAATCATATCTTCATTGACGATTTAGCACAACACTAAAGGGTACTTCAATGGATAGCAGAACATTAACCTTTAACTCACTCCACCTCTAATGAACCACGTTGAACTTTGTGCACCAAACAATTTACAATAAATCAATTGTATGATTCGAACTTGTAAAGTTGTAATTATCACAAGGAGAAGAATTCATTACTTTTCAATTTATCTTTGGATGAAAGAAGAGAAAATAAAATGATGACATGATCACTACTAGTTCCAGTTCCTAGTTATATCTTATATCATTTTAAATCATTGAGTTGTATGATCTCTCGAAACCTACAAATGGTGATCTAACCCACGATGTCACCTCCCTTCCGCATAGACACTGATCACTACTCCACTTCGTTGAAACACTTTCACAGATAGAGAACAGTGAACGGTATTGAAATCACGGGAAAGGCTTTCATACCACATGGGTATTATACGGATGTACAGTTTGAGAATAGATTTTTCTTCTAATCCCAGTGTACACATTTTAAAGAGATTAATCTTAGCAGAACTCTTACTACATTGGTAGTATTCATCAATAATAGACATTCCTTATGCGATTCAACATTCTTTTGCTCGTTTATAGGATACTAGCTATGGGTAATTCGATTACTCGTAATATGTTGCATTCATCTTCGTGACTAGCAGTGAAATCTAGGGTACGCTTTTCGTCCTATTTGTCGCTCGTTAACTGGATGATGTTTCTCCCACTGAGACTTGAACCCAGTATTGCAGGCATCAAACACCAAATGGTTACCCACTAGCTTACAACGACCAGCTGTTGATACGTTCTGTCTAACCTGTAGGTAGGTACGTCGTTGCAGGGGGGGAGGGGTGTACGTAGAGCAGTGTGAGTTTGCTGGTGGCCACGAAAATCTGGAAGGGAAAAGACAAAGAGAAAAAAGGTGGACCGACGACTTAGCAAGTACAAGCCCACTGGGGCACGACAGCCCCCTCTTCAGAGAACAGTATAATTATTTATAGTAGGAATAGCTGTGTGCTTTCATCTCTTTGTTGTATGAAGTTACTCACTTCTCTCCGTAAACGAAGTTAATAGGGGAAAAAATTGATTTAATGGCACGCTTAGATGTCAACTGATGGAAACATGAGACTTAACCGTATCCTTTGTACTTTGGATTTATGATTAAGTTGGAAACTAGTCTTAATTGGTAAGAGCAAATGGTTATACCCTACATCGTTGAGTGTTTGTATCATTGGGTATTATACGTGTATATTACCCGTTTATTTTCTTTTTTGGGGGGGGGGTTATTGCAAATATTCAAGGTTAAGACGATGGCATTGGCTGACCGACATTCAATCATGTCACTAAGACTCTTCAACCACTGATTCCTATGGTTTTA